GCTGGGAACCATCGATCAGACGATCAATATCTCGATATCAGCTGATAACCATCGATCAGACGATCAATACCTCGATATCAGCTGGGAACCATCGATCAGATGATTAATACCTCGATATCAGCTGGGAACCATCGATCAGACGATCAATACCTCGATATCAGCTGATAACCATCGATCAGACGATCAATATCTCGATATCAGCTGATAACCATAGATCAGACGATCAATATCTCGATATCAGCTGATAACCATCGATCAGACGATCAATATCTCGATATCAGCTGATAACCATCGATCAGACGATCAATATCTCGATATCAGCTGATAACCATCGATCAGACGATCAATATCTCGATATCAGCTGATAACCATCGATCAGACGATCAATACCTCGATATTGCTGATAACCATCGATCAGACGATCAATATCTCGATATCAGCTGATAACCATAGATCAGACGATCAATATCTCGATATCAGCTGATAACCATCGATCAGACGATCAATATCTCGATATCAGCTGATAGCCATCGATCAGACGATCAATATCTCGATATCAGCTGATAACCATCGATCAGACGATCAATATCTCGATATCAGCTGGGAACCATCGATCAGACGATCAATATCTCGATATCAGCTGATAACCATCGATCAGACGATCAATACCTCGATATCAGCTGATAACCATCGATCAGACGATCAATATCTCAATATCAGCTGATAACCATCGATCAGACGATCAATACCTCGATATCAGCTGATAACCATCGATCAGACGATCAATACCTCGATATCAGCTGATAACCATCGATCAGATGATCAATACCTCGATATTGCTGATAACCATCGATCAGACGATCAATATCTCAATATCAGCTGATAACCATCGATCAGACGATCAATACCTCGATATCAGCTGATAACCATCGATCAGACGATCAATACCTCGATATCAGCTGATAACCATCGATCAGACGATCAATACCTCGATATCAGCTGATAACCATCGATCAGACGATCAATACCTCGATATCAGCTGATAACCATCGATCAGATGATCAATACCTCGATATTGCTGATAACCATCGATCAGACGATCAATATCTCAATATCAGCTGATAACCATCGATCAGACGATCAATACCTCGATATCAGCTGATAACCATCGATCAGACGATCAATACCTCGATATCAGCTGATAACCATCGATCAGACGATCAATACCTCGATATCAGCTGATAACCATCGATCAGATGATCAATACCTCGATATTGCTGATAACCATCGATCAGACGATCAATATCTCAATATCAGCTGATAACCATCGATCAGACGATCAATACCTCGATATCAGCTGATAACCATCGATCAGACGATCAATACCTCGATATTGCTGATAACCATCGATCAGACGATCAATACCTCGATATCAGCTGATAACCATCGATCAGACGATCAATACCTCGATATCAGCTGATAACCATCGATCAGACGATCAATATCTCGATATCAGCTGATAACCATCGATCAGACGATCAATACCTCGATATCAGCTGATAACCATCGATCAGACGATCAATATCTCGATATCAGCTGATAACCATCGATCAGACGATCAATACCTCGATATCAGCTGATAACCATCGATCAGACGATCAATACCTCGATATCAGCTGATAACCATCGATCAGACGATCAATATCTCGATATCAGCTGATAACCATCGATCAGACGATCAATATCTCGATATCAGCTGATAACCATCGATCAGACGATCAATACCTCGATATCAGCTGATAACCATCGATCAGACGATCAATACCTCGATATTGCTGATAACCATCGATCAGACGATCAATACCTCGATATTGCTGATAACCATCGATCAGACGATCAATACCTCGATATCAGCTGATAACCATCGATCAGACGATCAATACCTCGATATCGGCTGATAACCATCGATCAGACGATCAATACCTCGATATTGCTGATAACCATCGATCAGACGATCAATACCTCGATATCAGCTGATAACCATCGATCAGACGATCAATACCTCGATATTGCTGATAACCATCGATCAGACAATCAATACCTCGATATTGCTGATAACCATCGATCAGACGATCAATACCTCGATATCAGCTGATAACCATCGATCAGACGATCAATACCTCGATATCAGCTGATAACCATCGATCAGACGATCAATACCTCGATATCAGCTGATAACCATCGATCAGACGATCAATACCTCGATATCAGCTGATAACCATCGATCAGACGATCAATACCTCGATATCAGCTGATAACCATCAATCAGACGATCAATACCTCGATTTTGCTGATAACCATCGATCAAATGCAGTCTCTCTCATCATCAGTTTTGTTTGGATTTATTAAAAATTATAATTTCTGATCTATTTTTAAAGCTAAACTTTAGATTTTAATGTCGCAGAATGGAAATAATAAAGTCTGAACCTCAAATAAAAATAATCTGCAGCCGGGAGACAAACTAAACCCAGCACCCCCCCCCCACCAAAAAAAAACAAAAAACGACACAAATGACCTGAAGCTCAAATCTGACTTTATTTTGAATGATAAATAGAAAAAGATGAAGAAATATTGTTTTTCTGACCATCAAGCTCTAAAATGTCTGATTTTATCTGTAATGTTTTTATTTCTGACTCCACCCTTCCCTGCTAACGCTTCATTGTTGTCGCCAGGGGGCGCCCGCGGGTCGCTCTGTAATTAGAGCTCCTTAATCAGCGGCGCAGGTCTGCAGGTGGAGTCTGTCTCCACCCGGTTCGGTTCGGTTCGGCTCAGCGAGGTGGTGATTCAACGGAGCGTGAAGAGCAGGAGGAGACAGAAGGTAAGAAGAGGAGCTGCTCCTCCTTCTCCTCCTCCTGGTTTGGCTTTTCCTAAAGATGGCAGCCAGTTGATTCAGTTTATGAACTTAGTGACCCAAACTGCTGATAGTGCTGCACTTTGTGGCTGAGATGGTCTGTAGGGGGCGCCAGAGAGGCGGGAACAAGAGCGTTTCAGGATGATTCACTAATAGTGAACAACAGGGATCAACCAGGAGCAGGTTTCACTTTTAGATACCATTAGCAGCAGGATGGAGATCCAGGAAGGTTTGAACAGCAGCTGATCTGCTCAGATGTCCTGAAGGAATAAATGGAGCAAATCTGCAGGATTGTTGGTTTGGTTTCATCAGCCTGATGGCGGTGGGGAAGAAGCTGCTGCAGAACCTGCTGGTCCTGCATTGAATGCTGGGAAGCCTCTTCCCAGAGGGCAGCAGGGAGAACAGTCCATGGTGGGGGGGTGAGGGGTCATTGATGATGTCACGGGACACGCAGCGCTGGGATGAAATGTCTTTAATGGAGGGAAGAGGAGCCCCCATGATCCTCTCTGCTGTTCTCACCTTCTTCCAGTCTGAGGCGCTGCAGCCTCCACACCACACAGTGAGACAGCTGCTCAGAACGCTCTCTATGGGGGAGAGGATGGGGGGGCAGAACGCTCTCTATGGAGCTTCTGGAGAAGGTGGGGAGGATGGGGGGTGGGGCGCTTCTGGGCCCTTTGGACCAGTGAGGTGGTGTTTCCAGTCCAGGTGAGGGTGCTGTGAGCCTGTCAGTTTAAAGCCTCCATGTCCACATAGATCTCCTCATGGACCAGCCGGTTCTGGAGGTCCAGTTGGTTCCTTTACATCAGAGATGGAGATGTTCCATCTCCTCTCCTAGAAGAACCGTAAAGATGTAAAGATGAAGTCTAAAAAACTGTGATTTATTGATAAAATGATTTTTTTGATAAAATGATTTATCAGTAAAACTGGACCGACATTCTATTTGCTCTGGATCTTTACTGGGTTTTTACCAAAGGGCTGCTTGTTCAGCTCCTCCTTCAGGAGGTCTTCTTTAACTCGTCCTCCATGTTAGAGCAGGTGGTCAGAGGTCAGAGGTCAGGCAGCAGGTCCACGGTTCCACAGGTGAGATCATCAGATTGGTCAGAAAGAAGAACGTTGAACTTTCTACTGATTTGTTTCTGATCCCTGATGTCCTCCATGTTCTCTGAGGGTTAACCTTCAGCATGAATGAATGAATGAATGAATGAATGAATGAATGAATGAATAAATAATGACCAGCAGGAGGATTTTAGTTTATATATAAATACATGGAGGACAGGAACATCCAGCAGGAGGCTGAGCCCTGAGCTGCTCGATCGTCTCCAGGATCATTCTTGATGAAGATGAAGTTGGCATCTTCCTCTTCCTCAGCGAGAAATGAAAAATTCATCCAATAATAATTTCTAAAGAGGGAGAGACTGAAACACGTGAAGGAGGAAGAGATCGAGTTCATCCGTCACTAGAATAAAGTCAGAACCTTCTAGTGGAGCTGATGATGATGATGATGAAGATGAGCAGATCAACCAGCTGGTTGGACCAGTTGAAGGTTCTCTGCTCTGAGCTTCCTGATGGATGGATTAGTGTTGCAGGTCTAACAGGTTGGCGGTTTGCTCATGGGCACAGGGCCAGATGGGGAATGGAGGGCTTCCAATGAACGCCCCCCCGGGTTCCTCACCTGCCTTCCCCTCCAGGGTTTCTCTCGGTCCGATGCATCTGCAGCTCAGACCAAAGATGATCCTGGTTTTTGTTCTGGGGGGTTGCTGAAGCTGCTTTAAACCTGGAATGTTTTATTTTCATCCAGCAGAGAAGAAATGAAGGTTGAATTCCTGTTTCCATGGAACTTACGTCAAAATTTAAAATAAAAGAGAAACTTCTTTGAAAACCTGAAGAACGGCTCCTTCAAGCTCGACAAACAAAGCAGAGAACTGCAGGCGGAAGTTTCTCTGAACCTTCTGGGTTTCAGGAATCTTCTCCTGGTCTCTTTGGTTCTTGGCCCAGTTTGGTTCCTGGATCTGGTCTGTTTGATGAAGATGACTGCTGGTGTCTAAAAGTGATGAAGAGTCACGGTCCTAGAAAGCTAGAACTAGATTCACTAGTTGAGTCCTTTGCTTCTGACCATCTGCTGGCTGCTCACCAAGGTCCACCATGTCCTGGGATCAGTTGGAGGCGGAGCCAGAAGGTTTTCATAGGGGCCACGGCCTCTGTCCTCTGCTGGGGGCCTCTGTCCTCTGCTGGGGGTGTCTGTCCTCTGCTGGGGGCATCTGTCCTCTGCTGGGGGTGTCTGTACTCTGCTTGGGGCCCGGTCCTCTGCTGGTGGCCTCTGTCCTCTACTGGGGGTGTCTGTACTCTGCTTGGGGCCCGGTCCTCTGCTGGGGGTGTCTGTCCTCTGCTGGGGGTGTCTGTCCTCTGCTGGGGGCCTCTGTCCTCTGCTAGGGGTGTCTGTCCTCTGCTGGGGGCCCGGTCCTCTGCTGGGGGCTTCTGTCCTCTGCTGGGGGCCTCTGTCCTCTGCTGGGGGCCTCTGTCCTCTGCTGGGGGCCTCTGTCCTCTGCTGGGGGCCTCTGCTGGGGGCCCGGTTCCGGCCCGGTCCGATCCAGCATGGACGGTTCTGTGGTTTCAGGCGGTTCCAGTTTAAGCAGGAATGTTTCTGTTGGATGAAGATCAGAGACGATCAGAACGTTTCTTGGCCTCCTGCCATCGTTCATGCTGGGGGGGGGGGGGACTCCTCTACCTTCACCTCATGGAGGTAAATCTGAGATGTGGGCGGGGTCGGTTTGAGTGACATGTTTGTGTGTTTTGTGTGTGGGGGGGGAGTCACTCTGTCCCGTCAGCCGCTCGCTGTGGCAGCGCCTGTCTGGAGGAAATGGAGAAGGAGGCGATGGAAGCAAAGCAGCAGCTCCCTCTGGCTCCACAGGCTCCGCCTCCGCTCCCCCCTCCCTCCCTGCAGCTCCCGCCCCCTCTCTCTCCAGCAGTAGGTGGATGTGCTGCAGTGACGGCAGACAGTTCAGGGCTGGAGCCAAAGGCGCGCACACCCACCAGAGCAGGACTGCACTCTCCTTCCCAGATCCACAGAGACAAACTTCCAGAAGCTTCCAGCTTCCCTCAGCAGACTCAGAGAGGAGATCCTCACAGCTACGGTAAGATCCGCATCCGGAGGCCCCCAGGCTGCAGTCTGGACGGACCTGAAGTTTGTGATTCAAAGTTCTCCCAGAGCGAGCAGCTCGGTCCTGTGGGCGTGTTCCAGGTCCCACCCACAGGCCGAGGATGGGAACGTCGGGGGTCGAGGGTCACCTGCTTGATCTCGCCATTTATGTGCCGCCTGATCTCAAAGTTTCTGTTTCCCTTCGCTGAGACGATCGAACAGAGAAGGAATGTAGGAATGTTTGTAGAAGCTGGAATAACGCTGAGCTTCCTCCTCCTCCTCATCCTCAGTCCTTATTGATAGAAGATTGATGCTGGATCCACAGAGGTCCACCAATCAGGAGCTTCTCAGCTGCTCCCCATTGATGGGGGGGGGGTTAGAGCAAGGTGAAGTCTGACAGTGTCCATCTCCTCATCCACAGCTGACCCACACCTGAACCTCTGACCCGTAATCGTCATGGAAACGCCCAGCCAGAAGCGGCCCCGTGGCGCCGTATCGCCGGCGCGCATCACCAGGCTGCAGGAGAAGGAGGAGCTGTGCAACCTTAATGACCGCCTGGCCATCTACATCGACAAGGTTCGCTCCCTGGAGTCGGAGAACGCCTCGCTCCGGATGCGCATCACCGAGTCAGAGTCCGAGGTCACCCGCGACCTGTCGGGCATCAAGTCGGCCTACGAGACGGAGCTGGCTGACGCCCGGAAGACCCTGGACGTGGTGGCCAAGGAGCGGGCGCGGCTGCAGCTGGAGCTGGGAAAGATCAGGGAGGAGCACAAGGAGCTGAAGGCCAGGTAGGAACACCCCCCCCTCGTTAATTTAGGAACTACACCCTAAATTAAACTGAACCGGGCAAGTGGGTTCTGTTCCACCCAGGTGGGGGTGTAGGTGGGTTCTGTTCCACCCAGGTGGGGGTGTAGGTGGGTTCTGTTCCACCCAGGTGGGGGTGTAGGTGGGTTCTGTTCCACCCAGGTGGGGGTGTAGGTGGGTTCTGTTCCACCCAGGTGGGGGTGTAGGTGGGTTCTGTTCCACCCAGGTGGGGGTGTAAGTGGGTTCTGTTCCACCCAGGTGGGGGTGTAGGTGGGTTCTGTTCCACCCAGGTGGGGGTGTAAGTGGGTTCTGTTCCACCCAGGTGGGGGTGTAAGTGGGTTCTGTTCCACCCAGGTGGGGGTGTAAGTGGGTTCTGTTCCACACCCAGTGCTCAGAACAAAGGGGGCGGGGCCACAGCAGGAATGCTGCACGGGGCCGGGGCCAGACCCGACACGAGCTGGGGGACATTCCTGTTGGCTGAGTGTGTGAGCGCCTGGGGCAGAGACGGGGGGGGTGAACCACTGCTAGCTTAGCCAGGCTAACCAGAATACTTCCTGCTGAGAATATCAAAATAAAAGCATGCCTGCAGACATTAACCCTTTATTTACCGGCAGCATTTTTCTTATATTTAGAACTGAGAGCAAAGCTTGAAGTGAACTTGATATAGAAAACAGTTTCCTAGAATGATGAGAACCTTTCAGAGCAGCGAGGAGGAGAAGAGAACCTCCAAACCAGAATAGACTGAGGAGGAAGAACAGCAGTTTGATGAAACATTCATTTCTGTTTGACATTTAAAAACGTTTCCTGATCTCAGATGGTCGTTAGATGATGATTTACGCAGAATCTGGAGGTTCGATCAGATTTGATTCCAGATCAGTTCAGCAGAACCAACTTTGTCTCCCAGGTGATTTCAACAGATTTTACAGGTATAGAAATCAGGACCTAGATCCTATAAGGAGTCAAAGTGCTGCAGGTTTTCTGTTCTTTGAAGCAGCTGCTGAACATTCAGATCAGTAGAACCGAAGGCGTGTTCTGGTGGAACCGGATCAGAGACACCTCTGGAGGGCGGCTTCATGTTTTCAGGAGCGTCTGGCTGCTGTGATGCAGATTGTAGGTCAGCTCTGATTGGTTCTGAAATGGTCGCGTTCTTGAACGTTTCACGGCTGCATCAGAGGACAGATTCAGCCTCTCTAACTTTTATCTGCTGGACTCCAGTCAGCCTGTTTGGTGTTTGGTTTCCATGGCGCTGTGCGATGACTCAGAGGTTTTTTTTAGGCCTCTGGAGTGGGCTGGTCTGACAGGAAGTGAGCTTTATTAATACTCTGCAGCAGTTGGGCTCCAACAGGTGAAACTGAGCTGAATGGACACACCTGTTCAGCCTGAAGGCATCGTCTGCTTCTCTTCACACTCACAGCTTTGTTAGCTTAGCCACAGCACATGCCCCCCCCACAGCTGTCTGCAGCTCCGCCACATTTAGCAAATATTAAAAACTGTTTTCTAAGCATGCGTCCTCAGAAAACCTCAGACATGTAGCTAGCATGTAGCAACATGTAGTTAGCATGTGCTGCTAATGCAGGGGCGCCACCAGGAATTTGGGGGCCTTGAAAGGCAATAAAAAAAAGATAAAAATAATGCAAGCTTTAAAATGTTATAAAAATGCACTGAAGAATCTCATTTACATTTTCAATGTAATTTTTACTGTAAAATTTCTGCAAAGGAAAATGATCTTCAAACAAAAGTTAAATATATATTAACTTTAAACTCTCATAATAACAGCTTATTTAGAACGAAATTTAGAACGAAGAAATAGACGTATTTAGAGATGAGGCTGCTGCTGGTGGATCATCTGTTTACATGATGGAGGAACAATGATGGTTATTTAATGTAAACATTCCTCAGCGTTTAGCTGATGCTAACCCTCTAAAGACTAGGGTTAGGTTAGGGATCTGATGCCCGGTGCAGGACCAGAGGACCATTTTACAAGGGGGGGTTGTTTAATGCTGACTCTAGACTCTACTCTATGATCTGATCTAGACTCTACTGCTCTAAGATCTGAGCCTGATTGCAATGGTTTGGGGGGGTCTGACGATCCAGAAGACGAGTCAGGACCCATTGGTGGTGCGGTCTGACTCAGACAGACGGACTGTGATCTAGACACTGAGCTGAAGGTAAACAGACCAACCCGGCCCCTGAGCCGCCCCACCTGCACTGGTTCTGGGTGTGGCTCCAGGTAGATCATCCTGCAGCAAACACCTTTGTTATGTTAGAAAAGCATGTTTGGATCCTGACTGAGAAAGTTCTGTTGCAGACGGAACATGGTCCAACATGTTTACCTGCAGCTTGGCCAACGCCCTCTGCCTCGCAGGAATTGGGTACATCAGGCAGCCTCCATGTTCCCCAGGGTTCTGTTGGCCCCGGGCTCCAGGGGGTCCTGTAAAGTTCTGTTGGCCCCGTGCTCCAGGAGGTTCTTTTAGGTTCTGTTGGCCCCGGGCTCCAGGAGTGTCTGTTGGCCCCGGGCTCCAGGAGGTTCTTTAAGGTTCTGTTGGCCCCGGGCTCCAGAAGGTTCTGTTAGGTTCTGTAGACCCCGGGCTCTAGGGGGTTCTGTAAAGTTCTGTTGGCCCCGGGCTCCAGGAGGTTCTTTTAGGTTCTGTTGGCCCCGGGCTCCAGGAGGTTCTGTAAAGTTCTGTTGGCCCCGGTCTCCAGGAGGTTCTGTTGGCCCCAGGCTCCAGGAGGTTCTGTTGGTCCCGGGCTCCAGGAGGTCCTGTAAAGTTCTGTTGGCCCCAGGCTCCCGGAGGTTCTGTTGTCCCCGGGCTACAGGAGGTTCTGTTGGCCCCGGGCTACAGGAGGTTCTGTTGGCCCCGGGCTACAGGAGGTTCTGTTGGTCCCGGGCTCCAGGAGGTTCTGGTGGTCCCGGGCTCTAGGAGGTTCTGGTGGTCCCGGGCTCTAGGAGGTTCTGGTGGTCCCGGGCTACAGGAGGTTCTGTTGGTCCCGGGCTCCAGGAGGTTCTATAAGGTTCTGTTGGCCCCAGGCTCCAGGAGGTTCTGTTGGCCCTGGGCTCCAGGAGGTTCTGGTGATCCCCAGGCTCCAGGAGTGTCTGTTGGTCCTGGGCTCCAGGAGGTTCTGTTGGTCTCGGGCTCCAGGAGGTTCTATAAGGTTCTGTTGGCCCCGGGCTCCAGGAGTGTCTGTTGGTCCCGGGCTCCAGGAGGTTCTGTTGGTCCCGGGCTCCAGGAGGTTCTGTTGGTCCCGGGCTCCAGGAGGTTCTGTTGTTCCCGGGCTCCAGGAGGTTCTGTTGGCCCCGGGCTCCAGGAGGTTCTGTTGGTCCCCAGGCTCCAGGAGTGTCTGTTGGTCCCGGGCTCCAGGAGGTTCTGTTGGTCCCGGGCTCCAGGAGGTTCTGTTGTTCCCGGGCTCCAGGAGGTTCTGTTGGCCCCGGGCTCCAGGAGGTTCTGTTGGTCCCCAGGCTCCAGGAGGTTCTGTTGGCCCCGGGCTCCAGGAGGTTCTGTTGGTCCCCAGGCTCCAGGAGTGTCTGTTGGTCCCGGGCTCCAGGAGGTTCTGTTGGTCCCGGGCTCCAGGAGGTTCTGTTGTTCCCGGGCTCCAGGAGGTTCTGTTGGCCCCGGGCTCCAGGAGGTTCTGTTGGTCCCCAGGCTCCAGGAGGTTCTGTTGGTCCCCAGGCTCCAGGAGGTTCTGTTGGTCTCGGGCTCCAGGAGGTTCTATAAGGTTCTGTTGGTCCCCAGGCTCCAGGAGGTTCTATAAGGTTCTGTTGGTCCCGGGCTCCAGGAGGTTCTGTTGGTCCCCAGGCTCCAGGAGTGTCTGTTGGTCTCGGGCTCCAGGAGGTTCTATAAGGTTCTGTTGGCCCCGGGCTCCAGGAGGTTCTGTTGGTCCCGGGCTCCAGGAGGTTCTGTTGGTCCCGGGCTCCAGGAGGTTCTGTTGGTCCCGGGCTCCAGGAGGTTCTGTTGGTCCCGGGCTCCAGGAGGTTCTGTTGGTCCCGGGCTCCAGGAGTTTCTGTTGGTCCCGGGCTCCAGGAGGTTCTGTTGGCCCCGGGCTCCAGGAGGTTGTGGTGGTCCCGGGCTCCAGGAGGTTCTGTTGGTCCCCGCCTCCAGGAGTGTCTTTTGGCCCCAGGCTCCAGGAGGTTCTGTTGGCCCCAGGCTCCAGGAGGTTCTGTTGGTCCCGGGCTCCAGGAGGTTCTATAAGGTTCTGTTGGCCCCAGGCTCCAGGAGTGTCTGTTGGCCCCGGGCTCCAGGAGGTTCTGGTGGTCCCGGGCTGCAGGAGGTTCTGTTGGCCCCGGGCTCCAGGAGGTTCTGTTGGCCCCGGGCTCCAGGAGGTTGTGGTGGTCCCGGGCTCCAGGAGGTTCTTTTGGTCCCCGCCTCCAGGAGTGTCTTTTGGCCCCAGGCTCCAGGAGGTTCTGTTGGCCCCAGGCTCCAGGAGGTTCTGTTGGTCCCGGGCTCCAGGAGGTTCTATAAGGTTCTGTTGGCCCCAGGCTCCAGGAGTGTCTGTTGGCCCCGGGCTCCAGGAGGTTCTGGTGGTCCCGGGCTGCAGGAGGTTCTGGTGGTCCCGGGCTCCAGGAGGTTCTGGTGGTCCCCGGCCCCAGGAGTGTCTGTTGGCCCCAGGCTCCAGGAGGTTCTGTTGGCCCCAGGCTCCAGGAGGTTCTGTTGGTCCCCAGGCTCCAGGAGGTTCTGTTGGCCCCGGGCTCCAGGAGGTTCTGTTGGCCCCAGGCTCCAGGAGGTTCTGTTGGTCCCCAGGCTCCAGGAGGTTCTGTTGGCCCCAGGCTCCAGGAGGTTCTGTTGGCCCCCAGGCTCCAGGAGGTTCTGTTGGCCCCAGGCTCCAGGAGGTTCTGTTGGCCCCAGGCTCCAGGAGGTTCTGTTGGCCCCAGGCTCCAGGAGGTTCTGTTGGCCCCAGGCTCCAGGAGGTTCTGTTGGTCCCCAGCTCCAGGAGTGTCTGTTGGCCCCAGGCTCCACGAGGTTCTGTTGGCCCCAGGCTCCACGAGGTTCTGTTGGCCCCAGGCTCCAGGAGGTTCTGTTGGCCCCAGGCTCCAGGAGGTTCTGTTGGCCCCAGGCTCCAGGAGGTTCTGTTGGCCCCAGGCTCCAGGAGGTTCT